TTGTGAGCCACCATGTGGTTGCCGGGAATTGAACTCAGGACCTTTGGAAGAGCAGGCAATGCTCTTAACCTCTGAGCCATCTCTCCAGCCCCTCATTGATTTTTTTTATATTGTTCTCTTTGCTTCTATTTTATTTATTTCAGCCCCCAGCTTACTTATTTCTTTCTGTAGGCACTTAGTGCTATGCTCTTGTATCTTAGCACAGCTTTCATTGTGTCCTATATGCTTTGGTGTGCTATGTAATTGTTTTTATTGAATTCTAGGAAGTCTTTCTTTACTTTTGTCTTGACCCATTTTTTATTCAGTGGAGAGTTATTTAGTTTCCATGAGTTTATAGGCTTTCTGTTGTTTTTGCAATCCAGCTTTTATCCATGGTGTTCTGAAAAGTTGCAGGGAGTTATTTCAGTTTTTTTATATCTGTATAGAATTGCTTTGTGCCAGAGTATGTGGCCAATTTTGAAGGAAGTTTCATGAGGTACAGAGAATGTATATTCTTTTGTTTTGGTGAAATGGTCTGTAAACATTTGTCAGGTACATTTGGCTTGTCTGTTAGCTTCAGCATTTCTCTGTTTAGTTTTTGTCTGGATGACCTGCCTATTGGTGAGAGTGGGATATTGAAATCTCCCACTATCAATGTGTGAGAGTCAATTTAAGCTGCAGCAGTGTTTCTTTTACAAACTTGAGTGCCTTTGTGTTCAGAACAGAGAAGTTCAGAACAGAGAAGTTAAGAATTAAAATGTAATCTTGGTGGATTTTCTTTTGACGAGCATGTATTGTGATTCCACATCTCTTTTGGTTTGAAGTCTATTTTGTTAGATATTAAAATGGTTATACCAGTTTGCTTCTTAAGTCCATTTGCTTGGAATACCTTTTTCCATTCCTTCACTCTGAGGTAATGTCAGTCCTTGATGTTGAGGTGTGTTTCTTGAAGGCAGAAAAGTGATAGATTCTGCTTTCTCATCCTTTCTGTTAGTCTGTGTCTTTTGTTGAGGAATTGATTCCATTGATATTGAGAGATAGCAATGACCAATGATTGTTGATTCTTGTTAATTTTTTGTTGGTGGTGGCATGTGTTTTTGTTTGCCTTCTTTTAATGTTGTTAGTGTTGAGATTATTTATTCCCTGTGTTTCCATGGGTGTGTAGTTAACCTTCTGAGTTAACTTATCTTTTCTTTTTTTTTCTAGCAACATCTATAGGGCTGGATTTGTAGATAAATCATACTTATGATTCTTAGAATATCTTATTTTCTCCATGTTTAGTGATTGAAAGTTTTTCTGGGTATAGTAGTCAGGACTGGTATCTGTAGTCTTTTAGAGTTTGCAGGACATCTGTCTAGGCCCTTCTGGCTTTTAGATTCTCCATTGAGAAGTCAAGAATAAATCTAATAGGTCTGCCTCTATATGTTACTTGATCTTTCCCCCATGTAGCTTTTAACATTCTTTATTTAGTATGTTGGAAATTAAATGCAGGAGATTTCTATACTCACTGGAACTTCCTCCCAGTACTAGTCTATGCTTTCTGTTTTATTATTTTCACATGTGTCTTTATATTCTTTACTAATATTTCTAAATCTCTGTGCCCCTACCCTGGCAAGAGGTGTTTTTGTTGAGGCTGGTACCCGACAGCTGGCATGAGACTAGGGGGTTGAATCTAGAGGAACAGAAGGAGAGGGTAAGATTTTATAAACAACCTACCTGTTTATTTGGCGAGAGTGGTCTGTGGGTTAGTGGGGAGTGCCTGCTGGAGTTGGATCCTGTGATTAGGCAGCAAGTTGGGAGAGAAAGGTTAGGAATTAAGGTCTTAGGATCAACAGGTGTGTGCAGAGCAGGAAGGAAAGCTTCATCAGATGTACTATAGCAGAGATAGGGATGGGTCTTGGGGATTGTGTTTGGAAGGCAGGAGGGAGCGGTGAAGGTCTTCAGTTAGCTTACCTGTTTTCTGGGCCTGAGCAACTGCTGTGTTTATAGGAAATGGCTGTTGGTGTTGGAGGTTGGAATGAGTTGGGGGAAGGAAGGTTGGAGGGGAAGATCTTTGTGAAGAAAGGGAGACTTCAGCAGATTTTCTGCTACAGAGGTGATGATGAGACTGTGGAGGGGGATTGAATTTGGAGGAGTAGAAGGAAGGTGTCAGCATACTGGTTGCACAGCTGGAAGTGGCCCTTGATTTAGCAGCAGATGCCTGGTTGGCTTGGGGGTTAAGACAAAGCAACAAGAGGGGGAAGGAAGGGAGGAGAGGAAGATATGTGGGAACAACAGGAGATGGGAATGCAGAGGGACAGGAAAGGTTGCTAAAGAAGTTCTGCTGCAGAGCTGGGAATGAGATTGAGGGATTGGATCTGGAGTTAGGGCTTGTGTTCAAGGAGACAAACAGATTAAGGAATGGAATAAAGGGAGTTCTGAGCTCAAGGTAAGATTGCGCCCAAATAAAATTTCCAACTTGTGAAAAGAAAATATTAGCACTGACAATGGTGGTACACACATTTAGTCCCAACACTCCAGAGATAGAGGCTGATGAATCTCTGAATTTGAGGCCAGCCTGGTCTAACGAGCAAGTTCAAGGATAGTTAAGCTTAGGCAGTAATGGTAACAATCAAAACCAGAAACTGGTGAAGATGTAGTTGAATGAGGGACCTATGTTCCAGCCCCAGCGAGCGGCAAAACTCAGTAAGTTTGACTACGTGATTCTGATTTTAGAGTTAAGGATAGAACAAAAGGGCTATGGAATTTGCCCTGAGTCTAAGGAAAGCCACTGAGACCAGCCATGTGTCAGGTGTATTCTTGAATGGAGGCTGAGAGAGGCCATTTGTGTGAAGCTGTAACACTGGAGCCTGGATTGCCTTAGAGACTCCTAGATGTGAAAGATGTCAGAGCTGTGGATACCTGCCAAGGACAGCTGCTCACAGAGAATGGAACCAGCCCAAAGGAAGAGGTGTATTGCAGCTAACATAGCTGAAAAGAGTTGATGTCAGACATGGAGGAGATGCAGAATTTAGAGTTTGCCTAGCTATTTTTCAGTCTTGCTTTGGTTCAATATTTCCTCAAGCTCTCTTCTCTATGTTCAAGAATAGTAATATATATCCTGTGACATTATATGTAGAAGTATGTGATCCATTTTTGAATTGATTTTTATAGGAGATTACAGTTATGAGATTGTATGAATCTTTGAAGAGACTTAAATTTTAGACTTTAAAACGTTGTTGAGACTGTTACAGACTGTGGAGGATTTTGAAGTTGGACTAAATGCATTTTGCATTATGATATGGTTACAAGTTTTTGGGAGCCGTGGAGTGGAATGTGGTAGTTTGAATGTAATCGGCTCCCATAATCTCATAGGGAGTGGCACTATTAGGAGGTGTGACTTGTTGGAGTAGGTGTAGCCTTCTTGTAGGAAGTGTGTTGATGTGGGGGCAGGGTTTGAGGTCTCTTTTATTCAAGCTCTGCTTAGTGTGACTCACAGACCATCTTTTGCTGCCTTCATATCAAGATGTAGCTGGCACCATGTCTGCCTGTGGCTTCCACACTCCACACCATGATGATAATGGGCCAAACCTCTGAAACTTCCTAACCCTTTCTTGGTTTCCTTTGTCAATATTAACTTCACCTATACTCACAGCTGTTCACATATATACACATATACATTATAGGCTAGGCTCTTTGACATAGCAAACATAAAATTGTCCATGTAACAAATGGAGAATGACAACATTTGGAGGACTAAGGGAAAAATGAACATGAAGGGTTCCATGCTAAAAGTATTACTGAAAGCCTCAAGATGGTGTCCATGAAGCAGTAAGCTAAGCTGGGGGCTTGACTGACGTGACTCATAAGGCAAATTCCCATGTTGCTTGTGAAAAGTGGGAGATTGTATAGGAATTGCCCAAGATTATGCCTTTTGCAAATTGGGAAAAGTACCCTGTTTATTTTCACACTCATTCTACTCAGTACCAGGGGACATGCTCCCTAGAGGTTTTAGGTCTGCAAGCCTGTCTTATTAAAACACCAGCAGAACTGTGGATAGCAAAGAGGTTTTTGGAGAGGAAATGTAGGCCAGAACCACAACATGAGCTGTCACTTCAAATATTTTACAGCCTGTGCAATCTGTGTACATAAACCCGAGAATACTTTTTACTTTTGGTCTTTTGCTAATTTTGTACTTTTGACCAGGTAAGAGAACACATTAGGAATAAACTTGAAAGTTTCCTGTAGTTTCTCTTCTTTAGGGTGTGGTCTGTTTGCAACATTAAACATCAGTACCTGGGGATCAGAGTAAGTTCATTGCCTTGAGATGGACTTTTCTCCCTGTGTGAGGATAGTGAAGGTTCTTTGATGTTTGCACAGGGTTATTGAATCTCATCTAAAGACGTATTACTGTAATCCCCTCTAAAGCCAGCCTGAAATCCACAAACACTGAAAGTGCTGAACAAAGTCACTGGCATTGACCATTCTAATCACTATTTTTTCCTTAAAAAATAGGCAAATAGTTTTTTTTGATATATGTTGTTAGAACTATTTTGGTTTTTGGTCCAAAGACTCCTAAGCAATCTTGGTCATATGGGTTGAAATTTTAAGAAAAATGTGTTGTGTTTATAAACAGACAAAAATAATCACGACCATCAAAAAAACTGCCCTGACTTGTTTGAAGGCAAGCTTTCATAGAATTACACTAGTGATCACATCACTTCTCAGACTGCCTTCCAGTTATCAAGCTTAGAATCCCTTGGGGCCTTTACAAGTTTTCTCCAGTTCATTAATTTTGTTTCTGTAGATGAACAAATTGTTTTCTTCACCCAGTGCTTTAACATACCTTGAATGACTCCCTTTTGTAGGATTCACCCCAGAGTCAGCCTCTGTCCAACTCTACTACAGCCTGGAAATTCTCTAAGTGTCTCCCAGCAACACGGGTCTTCCACACACTGATTCTCACTCTTCTCTTCCGCACACAGAGTCAACCGAGCACATCTTTAAATGAAAGGAACCAGAGAAAGCTACTTCTCATAGCTATGTCTGCTCTGACCAGTGTATCTCAGGGAGGTAATTCAGGTACTTTCCTAATATTGAGAAGAAAAGCAATTTTAAAAAGTTGCTTGTGTTTTAGTAAGTGCTGATTGCACAATTAGATATGAAATCATTTATAATCAACTTATTTATAATTCTTCAAAAATTTTGACATTCATTGAAAAACACTGCTATTTTGATTGTGTTAGTAAAATGAAAGTTATTCATTTCTTTAGGAAAAAGTAAGACTTTATTTGGTAGGAGGGAACACCAGGAATTAATTTCACAGAGAGAAAGGAGTCTTAAAATGAGGAGAGCTGAGTATTTTTGGCAACTTTGTAGTAGGTTGATTTAAAGCAGCCTGACACTTGGGATAATAAAACACAAGAGAGTTACTTATCATGGTCCCACTCTCTAGTCCCATCTCCTCAATATTTGAAGAATTAGTTTAAATAAGTAACAGGGAAGACAAGATTTCAAAGAGACTAAAGCCATTGACAGTTCCTCCTGATGAAATTACGGAGGGACTGCTGATTCCACAGAGGCAGAGGTTTTCTTATTCAAACACTTTGGGATCTGGAAAAGGTTTTCTTTAGTCTCAGGATAACCAAGAGAAGAGAGAAAATCATAAAGTATAAAAGTTAAACTGCACCCTATAAGAAAAATACACATTGAAATAATGTAATAATAAAGGCTTAACCACTTGCATGAGGCCAGTGGGAGCCAAGTTTAACTTACTGATTTTAGAACTACAGCTAAAAAGGTGTTGGGGGGGGCAGCAAAATATTGCCTTTACTGTTTTCAGATAATAATGACTGTTGTCGCAAATTATATAATTTAATTAGCTATATATGCCAGAGAAACAAACAGTACACAATTGTCTTGATATCTTTCCAGAAACTAGTCTTTTAAAATAAATTTGCCATATTAATCATCTAACAAAAAAAAAAGCTATACTGCAAAAAGTGTCTTTGGTCAGCATGGCAATATGACTATAACTCCAACACTTAAGAAACTAAGGCAGGAGACTCTTGAATCACCATGGTCTACATTTAGAGACTCTGTCTCAAAAAACATCTTAGGAATCTATTTCTAAAGTTCTTAATGGCTCAGATTATTGGAAGACACTAAACCCATCATCTGCTATAGCACTGAAAACTGTCAGCACATGTGTTGCCAGACTCTTGAGAATAATATGGTCATAGTTCTTACCTCTTACATCTTCTGGCTTGATCATGCATAAGAAACAAATCAATACAAAGACATTTCTACTGCTTACATGTTCTTAAGATGATGTGGAGTTACTATGTATTGATAAAGCTGTCTATACTTTCTATAAACTCTGTGGTTGAAACAAATTTATCCCTGCCTATTTCCTTCATGTTAAAGCTCTTCAAGAGTGTTCTTACTTCTCAGAGGTTGTCTGCCTGGTGGGATGTTTTAAAAGCTGCTCCATGTTAGAGACAATTTAAGGGATAAAAAGAAAGTTGGGTCAAAACGCTCACAGCTGAAGAAAATGTTAAGATGGTACTTGCTCTGAATTATCAACAAAAAGACATTATTAATGAAAAATAATAAAAGATATTTGAATAGCAATATATAACAAAAGCATAGACTTAATATTTAATGGGCAGCTAGACAAATATTATATAAGATCTTCACAAGATCTTTGTGACATTATAGAAAACCACTCTCACAAACTATGTATTGACAAGAAAATTATTGTCTAGAAAGACTGATGGACATGAAGGTTAGTGTTCCACAAACTATCCTATCTTTTCTTTTAAGTGTTATTGAATCACACCTTAGTCACTGAATTTCTCCTCTTGGGAGTGACAGACATAGAAGAATTGAACCCTTTTCTCTTTGTCACATTCCTTACCATGTACTTTGTCAATGTGGCTGGGAAAGGAACCATACTGACGATCGTCATCTTGGATCCAAGACTCCACTCACCTATGTATTTCTTCCTGGGGAACCTAGCATGTCTAGACATCTGCTACTCCACCGTGACAGTGCCGAAGATGCTGGAGAACTTCCTCTCCACAAGCAAAGCAATTTCCTTCCTGGGGTGCATAACCCAGCTGCATTTCTTCCACTTCCTGGGTAGCACAGAGGCCCTGCTGCTGGCAGTGATGGCATTTGAACGCTTAATGGCGATCTGCAAACCACTCCATTACCCCTTCCTCATGAATCGTCAAGTCTGTATCCAGATGGCTTTCACCATTTGGGCTATTCCTTTTCTCCACGCTCTTCTGCACTCCATAATGACATCTCGTTTGAACTTTTGTGGTTCCAACCATATTCATCATTTCTTCTGTGATGTCAAGCCATTACTGGAGTTGGCCTGTGGAAATACTGAACTCAACAGGTGGCTGCTTAATACTCTCACTGGGACCATTGCCATTGGTCTCTTCTTTCTGACGTTTCTCTCCTATTTCTACATTATCACCCACCTGTTTCTCAAGACCCGTTCTTGCAGCATGCTCCACAAGGCACTGTCCACCTGTGCCTCTCACTTCATGGTTGTTGTTATTTTCTATGCTCCTGTTCTCTACATCTATATCAGTCCTACTTCAGGGAGCTCCCTGGAAGAGGACAGGATTATTGCTGTCATGTACACTGTGGTCACCCCTGCACTCAATCCACTCATATATACTCTAAGGAACAAGGAAGTGAGGGGTGCTTTTAATAGGAAAATCAGAATACAGCTTTGACTTGAAGAAATATAGTAAATTCTTCTGAAACACTGAAACACAGAAATTAATATAAACACTGAAATGTGAAATTAGTTGATTCTGCAATTGTTTGTGATATGTATAACAAAGATGACCAGGTAAGGGAATAAACATGTAAGAAAATATATCTCAATTGTACGTAAAATTGCAGTCTATATATAAAAGGGAAATTAGAACAAACCAGGAACTCAATATAAATGGCAATACTGAATTTGTTTGGGAGATAACAGTTGGTGAAAATGACTTGGCATTATTTTATATATGTTTGTATATAAAATCAAGTATGTAAATATGTATGTATTGCCGATGTTCTGAATAGATGGATAATAACAAGTACATGTATCTATAAGGTTACTTTAACTTATAATCCTATAATGCGATTAATAAAATCAGTTTAGAAGGCAGTACTGGGAATTGAACCCAATATTTCACACATGCTATGCATATACTTTACTACTGAATTATCTCCCCAGCCCTCTTTTCTGTTTTTCTCTGTTTTCTCTCCTCCTCCTCCTCCTCTTTCACCTCCTCCTTCTCCTTTGTTCTCTCTCTCTCTCTCTTTCTCTCTCTCTCTCTCTCTCTCTCTCTCTCTCTCTCTCTCTCTCTCTCTCTCTCGTTTCACAAACTTTTCCAGGCTGGCCTGGCACTGACTGTGACCTAGGAAGGCTTTGCTTATGCTGTTTTCTAGGTCAGCCTCTCAGTTTGCTGGGGATACAGCCCTTGTCGTTGGGCTTATCTATGGCCAAGAAAATTATAATTCTTAGAACTGAATGGGTAAAATAAGAACAAAGTATAATGATAAATGCTTGTGAAGAAATCACAATAAAACATGTACATTCAAAATTGTGATGACATTATAATGATTTTATATTTTGAAGATTTTAATGTAAAGTAACTGTTGTCCAACTAGAAATACAAAGTTAAATTTGATGTGGAGTTAAGGGTAAATTTTAAAAGTATGTATAATTTCATTTTTTTTTCAAATGAGAAGGCAGTTAAGTAAATGAGATAAGTGACAAAGAGAACTTTAAAATGGTAGATATCAAGTAATTCCCGCATATTCACAAATCTGAGGCAAAGTACCAAGTGTTAGCACTCAGGGAGAGGTACATGGTGTGAAGGAATGGGAGAACAATAATGAACAGAGAGCAAATAGATCCACAAATGTTGAACTTAAGGTCCCTAAAAAAAAAATAAATAAATAACAGACCCCAACACAGGATGCTAATCAAAGGGATGGGAAAGGGCACGTTTCTCTTCACCAGTGGAATTTTAAGCACAAGGCTAAGAAGAAGCCTCCTTGGGACTCCACAGGTGCACTATCTAACCCTACAAAAACATAATTTAATAGGGAATTGCAGATCCATCAGCAAGAATACGCAGTACAATGTGGCTGCAAGCCTTCCTAGCTCGCTCACTGGTGAGAAGTCTTACAGTAAAAACTTTTGACTAGGGAGAACAAAAACCCCTGTATTTTTACATCTCCATCCTCCAAAGACCTCCAGAGGTCTTCAGATTCTCCACTCACTACGTGAAAGTCAGGGTGGGCCTAGGAAACTCTGTGGTGTGGCTTAGATTCACAGATAAAATTCTGTGTGGCTGGAATTGCAGACTATGCTGCAGAGGGAAGCTGAGTGTAGTTACATTTGGCAACAGCAGATCAACTTCTGGGAGGAGGAGAAAGAACAACTGTGTGGTTCTATCTGTGGGATGTGTAGGATGGTGAAAGAGACAGTCACTGAGTGATTGTGAATTCCCTGTAAGCCTGTAAGACTTCTAAAGATAAACCATCACAATCCATCCCTTGTAAACATGACACCATGAACATCATTTTAAACCATAGCATTCCACCCTAGCCCCTGAAATCTCATATTCATTTTATAATGCAAAAGCACATTTCTGGGGACGTTGAGAGTGTAAGAAATCAGGCCACTGGCATGAATATATGATTTTCAGGGAAAGGCGCTGTTTTGGGAGGCTGTGAACGCTTTGGGAGGTTGAATGTGGCTTGAGGAAGTAAGTGATGTGCCTTTGATAGTCATTCGGGTTCCCATTCTCTCCTTTTTGCTTTCTGTGGCCATGAGGTAAGAACTTCTTCCTTCACTCTGCTTCTGTCACAATATTTGCTGAAATGACAAAACCAAGAAACCACGCCCTGAATCCTCTGAAACTGTGAATCAAATTAAATTCTTCTTCTTCTTCTTCTTCTTCTTCTTCTTCTTCTTCTTCTTCTTCTTCTTCTTCTTCTTCTTCTTCTTCTTCTTCTTCTTCTTCTTCTTCTTCTTCTTCTCTCTCTTCCTCCTCCTCCTCATTATTATTATTTACTCAGGATACTAAGTAACTTTCATTTACTACCGGCTGAATAAACACCCTAGGTTATCACAGACTCTCTTTGGAGTCACAGGAATAGATCTGTCTGGGGCATGGAAAGAAGAACCCTGAATCCACATGTAGTGGAGAGCAAAGAACTAGAAAGTGGATTGATTTAATATTTCCAGAATATTTGATGAGCTGACAGATATACGTAAATAAATGTGGAATATTCCTTTATGCTGTGAGAATATATGTAACTGTGATTGGTTTAATAAAGAAGCTGATTCTCCAATAGCTGCACAGGTAGAGGTTAGGCAGGAGTGGCAGACAAAAAGAGAGTGTGAAGAAGAGGAGTCTCGGAAGTTGTGAGGAGATGCAGAGGGAGTAGGAGATGAACTTGCCCTACTGAGAAAAAGTACTAAGCTACATAGCAAAGCATAGATAAGAAATATGGGTTCATTTAAATTGTAAGAGTCACTAACAAGTTAGTAACAAGCCTGAGATATTGGGTGAACATTTAAATTAATAATTAAAGTCTCTGTGAGGTTATTTTGGAATTGGCAGATGGGACAGAAAAGACCAGCTGCAGTAAATAATAATTAGTCTGAGCTATTTAAAATGAATTATGTGGCTTGTAGCTAAGAACATAACAAGAAAACCTACTTCCCTTCTCAATGATTCATTTTTCATTTTATCAACACACAGAGAAGATGAAACTTCAATGAGTTGTAGCACTTCTAGTTTAGGTTGTCTAATTTATAACGGTTGTAAAAGCTTCCCTATCATAGCCACAGCTTATCCTTGTAGAAGGGAATTCTTCAAACACTCTGTTAAAATAACTTACTTATTATGACCTGGAACAGCAGGCCCTTCTTCCGGGATTGTTTCCTGAGGGGGAGAACCAAGGATGAAGGAAATAAAGAAGAAAAGAAAGTTGAGGTCAAAACTGATGGCTCACAGCAAGTAAGTTTAATGAGAATTGTAACATATATAACATACTTCTTGCAAGGTGAAAATGGGACAGAGTCAGAAGAAAGGTATCACATAATAGGACAAAGTCAGAAGCTAACCAAGCAATGTTGCAAGAAGGAAAGAGAGGATATTGCAGGTACATCAAGCATACAGAAGCCTTGGAACTGCCAGCCACAACTCTCCCTGAGGGAAAATAATCAGATTTCTAGGAACTGAACCCTATCTTCTTAAAGGCCCTGGCCCAAGCCCCAGGCGGGACCTTGCCAAGTCTATTTCTGGGCAGAAGTCAGTGATTGCCTTGTCCTTTCATCCGTCAAGGCCTCTGGAAAAACTCTGGATTGGCCTGACTTCCAACATTTTAAACTCTGCATATAATTCAGCAGCTTATGCATGGGACATTTTTTTCTTTCCATCCTAGTATCTAAGTCACTGAGCCACTGCTTCTATGGTTCATTGTTCCCCTAGGATGCCTCCCATGCTGTGCTAAATGTGCATCAAATAAGATTTGCACATTTCCTTCCTGTTAATCTGATCAAATCAATGTAATTCATGAACTCAGTTGTTTTCATAAGAGGATGGATGAAACAGGATTATTATTGGCACTTCATGGCTCTATCAGGTGCTTGTATATGTTCAGAAGACACAGGAGGTCATGGTCTTAGGAATGCACCAGTTCTTCTCTATGCTTCCAATCTCTGGATATAGTTATTAGAGAGAAAAGGGGACTTTTACTCATTTCACATGTTGCCTTTGTAGTCCCCAATAGTTAAATATGATTCCTAGCTGACATCAATGAATAGTACACTATAGAGCTGTTTATGGATTGTGAAATTCATCATCAAACATGGTAAAATTGAATGAGAAATAATTAGAATGGATTTAGAGTTCTCATTTAGATAAAATTAGGTTTGCAATATTGTCAGAATCTAAAGGTAAGTGATTACTGAGTAGGACAAATGTTTGAATCTATATTTATTTAGAAAAATGCAATTTAAAACTCGTACATCAGTTAGAGTGGTTCTTTTTAGAAACCAGGAAATATTATGGTCACATGTTCAATATTCAAGTTTTCCTTGGTTAAGAAGGTAGACCAATGACTAGAAATAGATCATGAGTTTTAAATATTTTTCTGATTTCACATCTGAATCATGGTCAATACTTTACAGCTGTTTAATTAGCGATTTATCCTCCAAATACATCGACAGGCAAATTTCTCAATGGAAATTTACTACAGATTTCCCACTAATGAGTAACTCTGGGAACTGGCTCTCAAAGGCCAAGAAAGGTTTTTTCTATAGGCAAACCTTTTCTGATCCCAAGAGAGGTGCTAAAAATGATGCTGAGCTTCCAACTGCCTTCACCTCTACTTTTATATATGGACTCAGCAATATAGGCAAAGGGCAGGATGCTCTTAAGTCTAAGAATATTGGAGGAGAATAAATACTTCTGAGTTTATCACTTATGAGAGAACATTAGTGATCTCAGAAGGTAAGTGTGAAATGTGATATTTTATGGAGTAAAATGAGCTCATATTTCAGACTGGAGTATTCAAAATGTAGTGTAGGACATCCCATTCTGTTTGTATGTTAGTTTCCAAAGCTGCATGTAAATAACTCTATTTAAAAGAAAACATCTTTCACAGTAAAATTTCTCTATGAAGAAATATTTTTTATATATATACATATAACACACAT